CCCCAAAACCCCAAAACCCCAAAACCCCTGGCATTATTAAGAGAATATATAGATTTATAAAGCTAGAATAAATAAAAATTTATCGTAACTAAAATGGAGACAATATCACAAATGAAGAGCACCTAAAAGGATAACGCTGCTGCCTTAAGGTATGAGAAAATAAAGTAGAATGAGGAAAAAACGTCCAATTTGGCTATGGAAAAATCACAAATCAGCGATCCATTCTTTAAAAATGCAAAAATCGTTACATGTTCTTAAGTCCTAGTTAAGAATGGATAAGCTGTAGCTATTGCTTTCAAGGGATAGTCTCACCCAATCAAAGATAAAAGCCCAGCTAGATCTATGGAAAGAAGTTCCCTTTCACAGTAAATTTCAATTATAAGTTTAATTATCATTTAGTCAAACCTTCTAATTGAGAAATGAACTACATGCAGGAATTTCCAAAAAGCCTTTAGAGCCCTACAACCCTAACTCTCACAGAAACAGATTGTATCAGCCATAGATCACTATGCCTTACAAAAACGCCTCATAGATAGTCTTAGGAGATAGATCGTAAGAATTTAATAAACTTATAAACCCATTCATTAGATCGGTAGACAGAAAGCAGTTTGTGTCCTCTAGCTAAAACATTATGATTTCTCCAAGCACTCAAAATTTGACATCTAACCCAGGCATTATAGCCGAGAGAACCAAATGGCTTAAACACAAGTAACAACAATGATTAATGCTAGAATTGAAAAGTATGCGAATCTAAGTTATTTTGATAATTTTCTTAAATCCTTTAATTTTATTCCACTTAACATACTTATAATATTTATGTTATCTTAAAAAAGTTAAAGCTTAAGTTATATAATTCACAGATTATTAAGTTTGAAAGTTGTTGAAGTATAGATTTGCATCCAACTCATTGTTGTCTCACTGGGGATCTAAGAACTCTCTGGTGACTCTGTTCGAGTTACTTGTGCATGGTATCCTTCATATCTTAAATACGTCTTCTTCTATCCAGAGTATTCTTGAGATGCTCATCAGTTTGAGCAAATTTTTCTAGTTCGATGACTAATGCTCTGTTTTACTCATCAAGTAGCGTTTAATGACGAGTTAGTGCAGCTATTTCATCTCTTAGCAATAGATTGTTTTCAGTGCAACGAGAGTTGGTTTGCTTGACAGTTTCATTATCTCGTCTCTGAATATCAAGATGCTTGTCTTGCTTGTTATTTTCAAGTTCAAAAGTATCAACATCCATTCTTAGTTAAGTTAACTTATTCTAATCCAGTAGATATTATCTTTCACTGTCCTTATTCAAAGAGTCCTTGTCCTGAATAGCTACTAAAATAGAAGATTCTCTCTTTCTAAGCTCGTCACATAATTCCTTGCATCTATTTATTTCAGCCTAAGTACTGAACAAAGCATCATTCTTTCTAGCTACTTCACGATCTCTTTCATCCAGAGTTTTCTCAAATGAAGACTATTTTTCCTGCTCATTCTTGATTTAGTGTTGCAAATCAGCTCCTCTATTTGAAAGCTAAAGTAGTTTTTCTTATGAGATTTTGCCTTCATTTACAAGCAGCATGTTTTCCTGATTAAACTTTGATCTCTCTTCTCTTAACTAACTCACTTCATAAACGAGATCCTCAAGGTCATTTTTCAGTGCAAGCTGATGATCTGATTTTTAATGCAGGTCAGCTTCACAGTTATAAATTTCATCGTCTCTCATTATGTTAATTTGTCTAAGTCTTTGAATATCTGTAGCAACATCCGCATTTGACTTTGATCTAAAAGTAATTTCGTGTCTCAAAGTCTCTACTTCATGCTATAAGTGATTTGACTCCATTAATCCATGATCGATCTTAGATCTCAAGCCATCTTCAAAATTACCCTATTTAAATTTAAATTGGCATGAAAGAATACCTTATCTTCGAGCAATCTTCTGTAAGCTTACTCAATTTCCATCATATTGTCTCTTAATTTGTTATAGTTATTGCCTTTGCCTCTTAGTTCAAATATCTCTGATTAAAGTTGACTAATAAGCATGTCTTTTTATGAACTAAAATATCTAGCTGATTCGTAGTACTATACAAAATTTAGAAAAATGAAGTAAAAATCGTATTTTTACGTTAGCCATTTTGCTTTTAGGAGTTGTTTAGTTTAATTTAAAATTAACTGACAATCGTATAATTTAAAATATTAATAATAGATAAAATCATCATTAACTTGGTTCAATTGTTTTTGTCCTGCAAAAAGCGAATCATCATATTTAATGAGGTGAATCCATTCATTAATTTTAATAATTGCATCATCCAGTAGCCTTAAGAAACATATTTTCATAATATCTTAATCCCTCATACGACTCATCTCTGCATAAATAGCCTTTCTCTTCTGCTTCCTAATTTGAGATTATAATTATATTGATGATAATTTACCCTTAATTATTCTTTCATAAGGATGACATTTACTCTTAGAATGCTTGCCATTCTATCAGCAGTTAGCCCAGGTTACTCCTAGGCTAGTTTAACTAGTTTTTAGAAATATGACTCTTAGTTAAAGTGCTCTATGGATAAGATATTTAACTGAGGATAAATTTACTTAGTTAAAGTACATTTACTCCAGATGTGAATTTCCTCAGGATAATTTTGTCTGATATTTGATTTAACTTTTCACATGCAATTAGTAAGTCCTCAGGAGAAATAAGGTCAGTACCTCTAGCTCTGTTATACATGCAGTAGATATCAATGAGCGCTAGCACTCCTCCGAATTTATCCAAAACTCCAAAGGAAAACTTTTCAACTTCTCTTGCCAGTTCCATATAATAATTTTTACCTGCTAGGTCTCTAAAATATAAGCCATGATTGAAATTTAGTTTACTTTGAGACTTAACTTGAAAAGTCTGTGATGAGACCCATATTAAACATAACACTTTGAATTTCTTTCATCTCTTCAGCATCAGCATTTAGTTCTTTCTTTTTTATTTTGTTTTGAATCTGGTTGGCGATAGAAACTAGCCCTTTGGCTTTTTCCTTAAGACTACTCAAATCTTAAAAGGCAGTGCTGATCTCATTCTAGTTCATCTTAGTCTTTTATTCAATATGTGATTTAATGGCTGATATACCTCCGCCTGTTCTCTGAACCTATTATTGCACTGGTTCTTCTACCAATTATCCTGGTGTAGCAGTGATTTTGATAGATTGCTAAATAAAGTAAATGACTAATTTATCTAATAATTACATTCCAATGTCTTTGCTAGAGTGCTTCATTTAGTAATGGTATAAATTTATCCCTGTTGCTATCATAAAATTTAAGAACAACATCTGCATTAAGTCTAGGCTTGTAAGGAACGCCTGGTAGTCTAAGTATCTTTGAATGATACTCAATCATATATTAAGAATGGGATTCTGGTTGATGAAGAACAAGCTTGATGTTTTGACTCTTGAATAATCCACCCTATATATAATTGGAATTTATCACAGAAATTTTGAATGCTATTTACCCCCTTTTTGAATTCCTTAACGTAAAATAATGGCACTTCAAGAGCTAAATTGTCTTTGTACCAGAGCACTCTTAATGTTGTAAGTAATAAATTTCCTCCTACTTCCTTTTTCTTAATGCTAAATAAGATATATTAAGAAATGATATTGTCATATTTGCTTTACTTATCATCTACAAATTTAACATTCAGGATTTTGATGTAGACCTCTTCCTGAGGAAACAGCTCTGGCTCTTTATGCTAGTTAATCTTGCATTCATAGCCCCAGACATTACTTGATCTCTCCATTTTAATGAATTTGTATTATTTTTAATTTAGCATAAATCTATTCAAGCGGGGTTTTGGGGTTTTGGGGTTTTGGGGTTTTGGGG